TACTGACCGTCTTTGTAAAATAAAACATTAGTATAACTCGCAATACATATATTAAGTTAAATGTAAACATATAATCATCCTTGATAATGGCATAAAATATAGCCGAAAAGACGGAGAAAATTCGAACAATTTCTACTTAATTTATGTCCAGAAAGAAGAAAATTATAAGCACACAAGGAAAATTAAATAAATCACTTTACCGCCGTACATTGTAAGTCGTATTTAATTATATATATATATACATATATATATATATATATATATATAGATATATATATATAGATAGATAATAGATAGATAGACTCATTTTCGAAAAACCCTCGAATTTTTGATTTTCTAATAATCAAAACAATCTCGAGGGAAAAAAGGTTTTAAAACGATCCGTTTAGGGTGAAAACCTAGGTAGGTTTGTCTGGCTCACTAGGTGTATCTATCTATCTATCTATCTATGTATCTCATCTGTTGTATCTATCTATCTATTATCATCTATCTATCTATCTATCTATATATATATATATATATATATATATATATATATATATATATATATATATATATATATATCTATTACTATCGGTCTATTACTCTATATTTGTCTATCTATTGGCAAGGGAATTACACACGCGCCTTTAAAATCTGAAGGAAACTCTATCTACAGTGCACACATGTTGCACTTGACGACGCACTCACTATCATACACATGTGTATGTGTGCGTTATGTGCGTGTACGTTGTTGTGTATAATTTAGAGAGCGAACATGAAAGCAGTTTTGAACATATTTTTCGACCAAATATGAAAGACAATAGCGAGGTGTTTATTTCGCATTGTACTAGCAACTTGCTTTTATATCATTTATATATTGTGGCGTGTATGGTTATTATATTATATCGTTTTTATACAGATGTGTATATCTATCTATCTATCTATCTATCTATCTATCTATCTATCTCAGTCTTTATATCTATCTAATTACTATAGGATGCTCCATTATCTATCACAATCTGTTCCTGTCTATCTAACTTTCTATCTATGTATCTCAGTCTGTTGCTATCTATCTATCTATCATATCTATCTATCTATATATATATATATATATATATATATATATATATATATATATATATATATTCGATCCCGGCTTGAAACAATCGGATGTCTAAGCACTGAGGATCTCTGTTTATAATAAAGAGTATTAACAACATTTACCAGCCTGAATGTCTTAGGAATTTTCATATATATATTATGTTACTGGTTAGGTTGATATATTTATTTTTTTGTATGTGTATATATACGCATATAAGTATATATTTGTATGTATATATATATATATATATATATATATATATATATATATATATATATATATATATATATATTTATTTATGTTGATATATTTATATATGTTTTTATTTGTAGTGATGTATGTGTGTACACATACGTATGTAAGTATTTTTTATATATATTGTTATATATTTGTATCTGTTATATATTTGTATGAGTTATTGGCTATTCAATTAAAACAAAATAGATTACAATTCCTCGGTTGCTTCTTTAAATAATTTTATATTTTAAACTTAATACAGATTAAATTTAAAACTGATAATTTGTAATTGTTAATTTTCAAATTTATAGTAAAATTTAATATAAATTAGAATGATTTCTATTTTAGTCTAAACCTAAGATTAAGTCATTAATTATTATCACTAAAGTTCGTTGTCAGGTTTTTTGAATTATCATCTACGTGTAATTTGATTGGTCATTGCAGCTTATGTGACAGCGTTTCCCCTAGCAACGGGTGTTTGGTTGATTTGAATGTTTATTCTACATTCAACTCCACTTGATAAGACACCAGAAGTCTTGAAACACAATGGCTATTTTTGTAGTGATTTTATAAAATATTTAGATTGTTAATTATTTTCGAATAAATCATATATATGTACATAATAGAAATTATAAGGAGGATTTGATAATTATATTTATTTAATTCATCGAGTCTGAAAAAAACCTCAACAGATGATATTTGCTTAACAACCTAACTGTCAGGGTTTCAATTCTCTGTACTGGATACGCACTACTGATGAGTCTCAAATATAGGAAGAAACGGCCGTCCAGTGCTTTCTGTATTCTGTTGAGGTTTCTTTCAGTCTCAATGAATTACTTATATATTTAATTGGTGTTTAGGAGAATTTTGTTTATTCTGAATATTATAGCAACGTCAAATTAAAAATGGTACAATAATACATTTATTATTGTTTCTCTTTATTCACTCTCCATTGATACTGCTCTTACGGACTCCCAGAAAGATCTGGACATGCAGGGATACTTGGCTGACAGCCAAATTTAATTGACATCTGTTGTCCAGATATCGGGTGGACTTACTGAACATTATCCGAAACAATTTAAAATTGATTCTGTGCATTCCCTCTTCTGTTCATTCTTGAATCATTTTTCAGAAAGCGTACACGATATGCAGGAGACACGGTGGAGTAATGGATAGCGGCTCGGATTGAGGACTCGGAGAGCCGTGTTCGAATTCCAGTCGAATCCGTTACATTCACTTACGTGTTAATATCCTTGCGATAGGTGTTAATCCTCTTCTTCGCCTTCCCCCATCTATGGGCAAATAGCATGACAGACCGCGTTCTATAGCAACCAACTGCGGGAAAAAATATCTTCATCGTCACTCAGGTATCGAAAGATACATGATTGACTAAGCGTGTATCACGCATGGCACACAAATGACTGACACAATATGCATTCGTTACCTTAAACAGAAGTAACGTGGCATTCTTTTTTTTTTTGGCATTGTAATGTGTCTTACACTGTCATGGAAATAAAAAAATTATATACCAAATGTTATTATTTATTGGTATATAATACGTATATATAGAATGTCTTTAAAGTAAGCACCTTAAGTTTTGACCATTTTGAAGTTGTTCGGTTTTTGTTTGAGATTAATTTGCTTAAATTCTTGTTTCATTTTCTTATACTTGGGTTTTATGAAATAGAAAATAGCGCCATTTCAACGTGTTTAAATCGATATTAATGGCAACATTAATGAATACAGTACAAATTAAATATTTATTAATTTCTGTTTAATTTTACAATTTTCTGTTCTTTAATTTTGCTTACCTAAACCGCACCGGTATCACTTCTGTAGTTGTTCAAGATTTAGTGAAATCTCTGTACAGTCGTTTATTAATAAAATCGTATATCGATACTATATAACTTGTTATTCAGTCAATACACATCTTGATTGTTATACCTAAAAACTTTCGACCGATCTTTTTCAGTTGTCTTTTCTTGTATTTAGCAACCTTCTTCTGGTTTTCGAACTGAACTCTTTATTCAATGTGGGTCGATTGTTCTGTTCCCGCGGTCCATAAAATGAATATAGTACATATTATTTAACAGGTATAATCAGATAATACTAAATGCATTCAATAGTTAATATATTTAATATTCAATATATTGGATCAATTTCTAGTTTTGTTCCTAGAAATAAAGGTTCACTGTGTCGTAATAGACATTTTTATCGCAAGAATATTTCTTACTCCTTTATAAGTCAACTATTCCTTCTTGTATTGAATATTGTTGCCATATCTGGTCTAGTCATACTGCTATATATTTAGGGATTATTGATAAAATGTAAAGATGAATCCGCATTGTTATTAATAGTGACTTGGAATCTCGTTTTCAGTTAATTTCCCTCCACCGTAACATAACGACCTTGTGACTTGTCTTAAATATTTTCTTGGTAAATGTTGTTGATTTCGGGTTGAAATCCGGTACCAATAAATAACAAACGCCAGGAATGAATATAGGAAAATAATGTATTAACGTAATAATACAAACTGGTAATGCAGGTTAGTAGTTCCAGGAATACGGGTTAGTAGTAATATATATATATATATATATATATATATATATATATATATTATATATATTGACGTATTGATGTATAATAACTTTACTGAGTCTACGTGCTCGCTCACTGTGACTCCTACAACGCTGTTAACTCACCCTCACTCTTCCAGTTACCTACAACCTTTTACTCTGGACTGGACTGGACTCGACTCGACTCGACTCGACTCAACTCCTCGGTCTAGCTCTCTCGGGTCTTCATGTAGCCGTAGTATATGTATATACTGGGTGAGTCCATTTGTGTAAAAAGGGGAGAACCCACTCAACAGTAATTGTTCTGATAAAGTTTCCTCTTTGGTAGCTATATTTTATGAACTGAAGCGCAGTACTAATATTGGATGCAAGGTCTCATAATTTTATAGTTGAAATAACCTAGAAGTAACCCTAAGTTCTATAATAAAGATTTCTTCTCTCACTATTCTCACATTGGATATCCTCATCACATCTTCTTGCTTTCCTGTCAAATTTTGTCGTTAAAAAATTAAATGCAATGTTGTTTTTTGATTGTTCTCCCTACTTAATAATTTTTCTAATATTTCTTCACGTTTAGTTATCCCTCTTATCTTAAAGGCTTTATTCCCTTGTCTGATTTGAAATCATTTAAAAAAATCTAATTCACCTTTTTTACCCTTTCTTTCTTCAACTGAAACGGAGTATATGACTAACACTAAGAGACCTATACTTTTACCTCAGATCTGCGAGGGAATTTGATATGGTTTAACCAATATTTATCCACGAGGTTAAGGGGTTCTTGGAGAAGTTAGGGTTGAAATCCTGGATCCTTACATCTAATGCCTGTATTCATGCCAGAAGAAATGTAATTTTGTTCGAGTGACCTTCCTAAATCAGAGTCTAACATATGATATGCTAGGTCATCTGTTGTACCTTCATAATCTGCACCTACAAGGAAGATAGGCAAATACGGCTGGATCAACTTAACACAATATGTTACGTCATACAATTCTCAATGGAAAAGGAAGAAACAAAGGACTAACTGGCTTTCCAGAATGGACAGATAACTTGCTGACACTTAGGTACGTGATAATTCCTCATCTCAAAAGTTCCAGCAAAATATTTTATAGATAGATAGATAGATAGATAGGTAAGTAGGTAGATCGGCAACGGTAGCTATCTAGCTAGCTAGTTGGCAACCTACCATTGTCGATTTAGATATATATACATACATATCTATAGATAGATAGATAGATAGATAGATAGATAGATAGATAGATAGATAAACAAAGAGACAACGATGAGGACAAAAGAATAATCAGCCAGGCAGATATATATAGACAATGACAGTTATAGATAGATAGATAGATAGATAGATAGATAGATAGATAGATAGATAGATAGATAGATAGATATGGACATCTACAGAAAAAGATGAAGCATATATATATAGACAATGACAGTTATAGATAGATAGATAGATAGATAGATAGATAGATAGATAGATAGATATGGACATCTACAGAAAAAGATGAAGACAGACGATAGATCAATAGACAAAAGAGTGAGACCATATAACGATAGATAGATAGATAGATAGATAATAGATAGATATAGATAGATAGATAGATAGATAAACAAAGAGACAACGATGGGGACAAAACAATAATCAGCCAGGCAGACAGACAATGACAGTTATAGATAGATAGATAGATAGATAGATAGATAGATAGATAGATAGATAGATAGATAGATAGATAGATATGGACAACTACAGAAAAAGATGCAGACAGACGATAGATCAATAGACAAATAGAGTAAGACCATATAACGATAGATAGATAGATAGATAGATAGATAGATAGATAGATAGATAGATAGATAGACAGAAGATAGATAGATAGACACCACAACTACAGAAAAGATGCAGACAGACAACGATAGATCAATAGACAAAGATATAACGATAGATAGATAGATAGATAGATAGATAGATAGATATTTGGCGTTGGCTAAAGAATGATAAAACGGAAAAAAAACCTATGGACGTGTTTCCTTCAGAAAAGGAACTTATTCAGACAAATGATACTTTATTGTTGGAATTAGTCATATATATATATATATATATTATATGGGGATGTGGGGTGAAAAATTACGACTGACGCTTTTGAGTGATAATATGAATAATACAGAGAGGCTTAATCTTTGAATTTAGTATCTAAATATTAACTTACATTATTTCATTAATGTAGATAGATAGATAGATAGATAGATAGATAGATAGATAGATAGATATGAGGAATCTCAGACCGATAATGAATAATCGTGTAGGAAAATATCTCAATAGATAGACAAATAGATAGCTAGACAGATAGTAATAGACTGATATATATATATATATATATATATATATATATATATATATATATAGATAGATAGATAGATAGATAGATATATATATAGATAGATAGATAGATAGATAGCAACAGTATGAAATACATAGATAGATAGATAGCAACAGTATGAGATACATAGATAGATAGATAGATAGATAGATAGATAGATAGATAGATAGATAGATGGCAACAGTATGAGATACATAGATAGATAGAAAGTTAGATAGACAGTAACAGATTGAGATAGATAATGGAGAATCCTATAGTAATTAGATAGATATAAATAGACTGATATATATATATATATATATATATAGATAGATAGATAGATAGATAGATAGATAGATAGATAAATAGATAGATAGATATACACATCTGTATAAAAACGATACTATATAATAACCATACATGCCACAATATATAAATGATATAAAAGCAAGTTGCTAGCACAATGCGAAATAAACACCTCGCTATTGTCTTTCATATTTGGTCGAAAAATATGTTCAAAACTGCTTTCATGTTCGCTCTCCTAAATTATACACAATAACGTACACGCACATAACGCACATACACATGTGTATGATAGTGAGTGCGTCGTCAACGCAGCATGTGTGCACTGTAGATAGAGTTTCCTTCAGATTTTAAAGGCGCGTGTGTAATTCCCCTTGCCTGTGAACTGGGCGCAGGCACCGTAATTAGATCTTTGCTTGTCATTCAACTGGGCGTAGCGCGGTAATTCGGTTGTTGCCGTTTAGAAGATGCAAAGTCGATGCGCGTGTGACTGACTTTATCTGTAATTTCATTAGGACAAAGAATTCTATGAGTCGTTCTGAATTGTGCCCGCACTGTCCATCGCCGAAGCGAGCGCCGTTTCGCACCGGTGCAAGGCGAACACCGGCAAAAATAGACAAGGCAGCAAATAAGCAACGGGAAACGAATGATTGCATTCGGGATTGCGCGCTGCGGAAGCTTCGTCGCCTTTGCTTAATTAATCGGAAATAAACAGCTCTAAAGCAGAGGTTTTGCATACGAACATTTCAGAGAGAGAGAGAGAGAGATAGCGTCACGTTTCTTCTGGAGACAT